GGGGTCCGGGCAACGGCCTTCTGCGAGTCAGCAGCTTGTATGATCCTCCATGGTGACCAGCGGAGCTCGGATCTCACAGAGCATGCAAGGCCGAGATCCAGAGTCCGAGTCCCAAGTCGGCAGCACAGAGGATCTTCCACGGTTACCAGTGGAGCTCGAAGCCGGGGAGAGGACGCCCTGCATGGACTGAGGAGGCTCTGAGGCTCCGGTGGAGAGGACCGTGGAGAGGACTGTGGAGACCGACGGAGCTCCATCCACGCTCTGAATTTTGTCATCGGCCACCAAGCACAAAAAATGCCTGCACTTCAGCATTAGACCACGGTGTTGTCATTATTGTTTTTAAAATCTTAAAAATAGGTCCAGTCGCTCCTCGAGTTCGAGTATCAGTAATTGCAAATGGCAGATCTCATGTTGAGAAAAACTCTCTCAGCCCCAGTGGCTCGACCCCCTGACCAATCAGTGAACGACCATGTTCTGACGTCATGTTTTGGTGCTGGCTCGGCCCACTTGGAACCACATCTTAAAGGGTTCTGAAAAAAGGGACCAGTTCTACATACCGTTACTAGTGGAAAAACCTGGAACCGTGTCAAGTCGAGTCGAACCGTGCTGTACCGTTACTAATGAAAAAGCAGCAATAGAGTGACCTATAAGAGTGGAGGAAGGAGCACGCAGGTCGACTACATTCTGTGTAGAAGAGGAAACCTGAGGGAGATTGGAGACTGTACGGTTGTGGCAGGGGAGAGCGTGGCCAGACAGCATCGGATGGTTGTGTGTAGAATGACTGTTGTTGTGAAGAAGAGAAACAGAGTAAAATCAGAGAAGAAGACCAAATGGTGGAAGATGAAGAAGGAAGAATGTTGTGAGAAATTCAGAGAGGAGCTGTTAAAGGCTCTGGGTTGTAAGAAAGAGCTTCCAGATGACTGGACTACTACAGCAACAGTAATTAGAGAGACAGGTAGGAAGGTACTTGGTGTGTCATCTGGACAGAGAATGGATGATCAGGAAACCTGGTGGTGGAATAGTGAAGTGCAGGACGCTTCTATATTATAAGGAGGCGTAATGTAGAGCAAAGAGGGAGGCGGCTAAGGCAAAGCAGAGGGCGTATGATGAGTTGTATGGGAGGCTAGACACTAAAAAGGGCGAGAAGGACTTGTACCGCTTAGCGAGACACTGGAATTAGGCTGGAAAGGATGGGTTAGGGCAGGTTAGGCTTGTTAAAGACAGAACTTGTAATGTTCTCACCAGTGAGGAGAGTGTGAGATGGGAAGATGGAAGGAGTACTTTGAGGAGCTAATGAATGAAGAGAATGAAAGAGAAAGAAGAGTAGAGGTCATAGAAACTGTGGACCAGGAAGTAGGAAAGATCAGTGAGGGTGAAGTCCAGAAAGCTCTGAAAAGAATGAAGAAGGTGAAGGCAGTAGGACCTGATGACCAGTGGAGGTTTGGAAATGTCTGGGAGAGATGGCAGTGAGGTTTTTGACTCAAATATTCAATGACATATTTGAGGGTGAGAAAATGCCTGAGGAATGGAGAAGAAGTGTGATGGTGCCCATTTTTAAGAACAAGGGTGATGTTCAGAGTTGTAGAGTGGCAGCAAGACTTAGACGAGAGGTGACTATCTGTGAGCAGCAGTATGGTTTAATGCCAAGAAAGAGCACCACAGATCCATCTTTGCTTTGAGAATGCTGATGGAGAAGTACAGAGAGGGTCAGAAAGAACTCCATTGTGTCTTTGTGGATTTAGAAAAAGCATCTGACAGGGTGCCGAGGGAGGAGGTGTGGTGTTACATGAGGAAATCTGGAGAGGCAGAAAAGTATGTTAGACTGGTACAAGACATGTATGAGGACAGCAGGACATGTATGAGGACAGCAGGACATGTATAAAGACAGCAGGACATGTATGAGGACAGCAGGACATGTATGAAGACAGCA